GGTGTGGTGGCCCATACCTGTAATCCCAACACTTTGGGAAACCGAGGCAGGTGGATCACTTGAGCTCAGGAGTTTGAGACCAACCTGGCCAACATGGTAAAACCCCTTCTCTACTGAAAATACAAAAATTAGCTGGACATGGTGGTATGTGCCTGTAATCCCAGCTACTTGGAAGGCTGAGGCAGGTGAATCGCTTGAACCCAGGAGGTAGAGGTTGCAGTGAGCTGAGATCGTGTCACTGCACTTCAGCCTGGACGACATAGAGAGACTCTGTCTCAAAAAAAAAAAAATCGCAATAAGCTACACAGGTATAAGTGGTGATTATTACCTTAAGCGACTCCCATCTCTGGCCCTCAGTCTCTTCATTCTCAGAATGGACAAAATGAGCTTCTGGCCTTAAAGCCCTGTGATGGATGTAAATATGAATCTCAGGCAGTACCCACTTTCATTGAAGATGTAATTACACACTCAATAAATACTTTTTGATTTCATGATGATGAAGAAGAAGGGTGATTTCACATCATTGCTTTCTCCTTTCCTCTCATATCCCAAGCATTTCCCAGTCTTTTCATCATTTTCCCCTTTTGACTGAGGCTAGGGGTGATGGGATAAGTACGTCTTGTGGCCACTCAGCCCAGGTAGGACAGGGAGTTAGACCCAGTAAGTTCTAACAAGCAAGACGTACTCACAAATGTCCAGAGTCCTCACTCTGCCTTCAGAGTGGTATGGGACTGAGTCATATCACCAAATGCCAGCCTTGGAGCTCTGCCATTCGGCTGAACTCCCCAAATCACTCATCAACCCAAGTGCCCTGGGTTCCCACACTGTGCCCCCAAGAAAGCACCCATGGGGTTGACAGAGGTGAGGAGGAAGCCCAGAATTAGTCACAAGAAGCAAATCAGAATCACACACAGCCAGTGCGCCCAGCCTTAGCCCAGATGCTGACCTTTTGAAAACCCAGAGCGGCTCCAGCCGTCTCCTCTCCATGGCTACAAGGATGGGGAGGGGGTAGCTTGGCCTGGAACAAGCTAATCTTGAGGGTATATTGTCTAAAACTCCTGCAGTATTCTTGTCTAAAACACCACAGCTTACAAAGTACTTTCAAGATTATTTCCTTTGATCTGTGAGGCAGCCTGAGGAGATATTATCATCTTCATCCTTTAGATGAAGAAAGTGAGGCTCAAGAAGGTTAAGCGAGGTAGCCAAGGACAGGCCGCTTGTTACTGAGCGCCAGTGCTTTGGTAGCTTGCTGCTATTTGTTAACTGCCCTTTAAAAGAAGTTTATAGGGGGCCAGGCATGGTGGCTCACGCCTGTAATCCCAGCACTTTGGGAGGCTGAGGCGGGTGGATCACCTGAGGTCAGGAGTTCAAGACCAGCCTGGCCAACATGGGGAAACCCCGTCTCTCCTAAAAATATAAAAAAATTGGTGGGCACCTGTAATCCAGGCTACTTGGGAGGCTGGAGCAGGAGAATTGTTTGAACCCAGGAGTCGGAGGCTGCAGTGAGTCGAGATCCCATCATTGTACTTCAGCCTGGGTGACAGAGTGAGACTCTGTCTCAAAAAAAAGAAAGGAAGGAAGGAAGGAAGGAAGGAAGGAAGGAAGGAAGGAGCTTATAAACCCAGGCACAGTAGTTCATGCCTGTAATCCTAGCAAACCTTGGGAGGCCAAGGTGGGGGGAGGCTGAGGCCAGGAGGTTGAGGCTGCAGTGAGCTATGATTGCACGAGAAGACTCTGTCTCAAAAAAAAAAAAAAAGTTCATAGAAAATTTAAAAGTAAAGAAATGGAGGGGAAAAAAGGATCTAAAATCCACTTACTCTAACACAATCATTATCCTTAATGATTATTGTATTTCTTCCTAGCCTTTTTTTGCAAGTCCTTTAATAAAACATAGCTGTTATACATAAAATGCAATAGCTTCCTTTTACTCTTCACATTCTATGACAGTATTTCATATCATGACATGGTCCTGATGATCATTCATTCAATAGGTAGTTAGTGAGTGCCTGAGGTGTGCAGGCACTGTTCCAGGCACTGGGAACACAGCCTTGAACCAACAGACAAAACTGTCTGCATGCATGGAGCTCGCATTCTGACAGGAGAGACAAGCAAGAAGCAAAGAAATAAATCGACAGCATTCCGTTAGCACCTAGAGAAAAGAGATATAATGTTCAAAACTTGAGCTATGAGAAATAAAAGAGCAAAAGATCATTTTTTGTCAGAAGGACTATGAAGCATGTTGTTTTACTTAACAAAACCAGTGCTAACCATTTTACATCCTCCAGACTTGAAGTGTGTGGAGGCGTTTTAACAGATACAATTTTACCTTTTTTTCCCTTTTAAGTTATCGTCAGCATTTTTCAATCTCTCTTTAAAGAACATCTTAAATTTGCATAATAGTCATTCATCTTAATAAAGACATTACACTATTGTTGGACATTTAAAGTGGTTTCTTTTGAGGTTTAACTCTTTAAAAACTTCTATAACTCAGCCACCGGGTGCAGTGCCTCACGCCTGGAGTCCTAGAACTTAGGGAGGCCAAGGTGGGCAGATCACGAGGTCAGGAGATCAAGACCATTCTGGCTAATGCGATGAAACCCCATCTCTACTAAAAATACAAAAAATTAGCTGGGCGTGGTGGTGCATGCCTGTATTCCCAGCAACTTGGGAGACTGAGACAGGAGAATCGCTTGAACCCAGGAGGTAGAGGTTGCAGTGAGCTGAGATAGCGCCACTGCACTCCAGCCTGGGTGATAGAGCAAGACCCTGTCTCAAAAAAACAACAAACAAAAACAAAACAAAAAAACTTCTATAAATCAGTGCAGAAACGTTAAAATTTAGATTTAGTACTGTTGCATTTGAAGAGAATGGCAGAAGCAAAACTACAGGGTCGAAGGGTATAAACATTTTAAAGAAATAGGATGTGAAAAGTTCTAAAGCTCTTGATAAAGATTGACAATTGCTTTCTAAAGGAATCTACTCCCACCAGCCACATATGCGGGAATGCTCGTTTAACCAGTTCCTTGCTGAATCTGAGCCTCATCTTCCCCAGTGGGAGATGGGAGCTCACTGATCCTCTTTCATTTTTGTCTGTATTGAAGGGAACATTTCCAAAGGACACATGGTAGATCAATTCCGTGATCTACTCAAACAAAGGGCGAAACTGTCTCTCCCGCACAGAGTTCCACAGCAGGGGGAATGTTGAGTTTCAATAGCTACTGCAAGAGGGGAGCCAAAAACCCACCAGGGCATGGAGAAGCCTTCTTTCTTCCCGTCTGTTTTCAGGGAACTCAGCTAGTCAGTAAGTCAGAAGCAGCAACCTGGCAGGGCTGGAGGTGGGGACTCAGTCCCAATAGCCTGGAAAAGTGCCTCCTCTATTCTGAGATCTTGTTACACACAAACCCAGATCAGAGTCAGCTTCCCTGCCCTGAAAATCCTGGGGTCTCAGCCCCATGAAAAAATAATTTCTTGCCTCAGAGAGCAATAGTGAGGATAAGAAGTGCCAAGACTTAACCGAGCTCTCAAACACCAAAGTGCCTGAAATGTGTCCTGCTGGCAGAGGTGACCTCACAGGCTGCAAGGCTTGCCTCTCTTGGAGTATATGGGAGGAACATGCAGAAATGCACTTTTTGGCAGGCTGATCTAGGAGACCCGATGTTCAATCTGCTCTAATTCAGCAGCTCCAAATGCTGAAGAGAATACAGGGGTATTTGATGGGGGGATGGGATGGATAGCCTGCGACAGAATGCCAGGCTTCAGACCCAACCTAGCACTGAGGTGCTTATCCGCGTGCACACCCACCCTTTCCCCCAGAGCTTGCAACATCCAGACTGGCCTGTGGGGATCTGGCTAGGATGTACACTGACTGAAATGTCTTTAGGCCAAATCCTCTTAAATCAAAAGTATAAACAGTGAATTTCCAAACCCTACAGAAACCTCAAAGGAGAAATGACAGAGTCAGAAAATGGCTAATCCCCACAGTTCATACTGGAAGGTCTGAAAAAAGATAGAAAAAAAAAAAAAAAGGCCTGGTATATATTTGAAAATCCAAAATGACACATCTTCTCTCAGAAGTGACACCCGGCTGGCAGATGCCCTTATATAAATATATTTTCTTTCTGTAGCTTTCAAAATGTGAAATGTCCTTAAAAATAATAAGAATAAATGATTTGCTTCCTCCTATGGGATTACTGCACCTGCAGAGTGCAGCCAGCATTCATGCCCCCAGACACCACCCCAAATCCTCATCATCCTGAGATCAACCTCAACTACTGTGTTGAGTTTTGTCTCACCCAGTGTGCGACCCGCCTCCTGATACGCATTTCACTCCCACTGCGCAAGCAAAGACGATTGTGAAGACAGGGCTAGCAGGAGTGTCTGTTTATTGAGAAAGATGAATTCACAGAGAAGATTTTGAGGTTCCTGGCTGAGTGGTGGAGACCTTAAGAAACGCCTGGTGAGCGATTTCAGGACCTTCTGTTGAGAGGGAAAGACCAGAACAACTTCCAGGTGAGTCCTACCGCTTCGTAGGGGGAGAAGTGTCACCAGATTCAACACCAGGGTTTTGTGAGTGAGAAGGGCAGAGGGCCTGACTTGGAGAAGGTATTTCTCTGAAAGCAAAAGCTATTGTGGGAGACGGGAGAAAGCACAGCCAGAAACCAGAATGGCATTTGGGGGTCTGGGTTCGATTTCTGGTCAGTGCTCCTCCCAATGAGGCAGAGAAGGAAATCCCCTTCCCTTCTGTCTTCTTGGTGAATCTGCGGGTCTCCGAGTTGCTGTCTGCTCCATCTCATAGCACTTATCTTGTACCCTGCAGGCTGACAGGGAACAGCTAGTCTCAAGAGCCTGGTTTAGGGGAGTTCAATTGCTCTGAGGTTCCGGGGAAGCTGATGGAGGAGACCCTGGGAGTCCAGGCAGCGCGCGAGGCAATGCGGTGCCGGCCGGAGCAGCTTGCTGCCGCCAGAACAGGCGCATCTGGGTCCCCTCCCGGGACTTCTCCCCTCCTCTCGGTGCTCCGCTGTCGCCCACCTCCAGCGGCCCGAGGCAGCTACCAGGGGGCCGAGGCAGTGTTCGCGGCCTGGGCCCGGCAACGGAACACGGAACTGTCGTCCCTGGAGAGCGAGGAGGCCGAGCTGATCCTTCGCGCCAGGCGGCCGGTGCGCCCGCAGGCCGCGTCCAGCGCCCGGGCTCGGAATGAGCGGTCCAGCAGGAGGTAGATGAGCGGGTTGGCGCAGCTGTTGACGAAGGCCAGGCAGGTGGCGATGGTGAGGCCCCAGCGCAGCGCCAGCAGCAGGGGGCACGGCAGCGGCAGCGCCCCCAGACGCGCCAGGTGGAAGACGGCCCGCAGGGCGCTGAAGGGCAGCCAGGAGCCCACGAACGTGCCCTCGATGGCGAAGATGATGCGCAGCGAGTTCCTCCGGACCCGACCCACGTGCGGCGGCCGGCGGAGGCGGCGCGAGATGCGGCAGTAGCAGAAGAGGGTGACGACCAGGGGCAACACGAAGGTCAGCAGCAGCAGCAGCAAGCTGAGGCCCTGGAAGGTGTGGGAGGGCTTCTCCCCGCACTGGCTGCCGTGGCCCCCAGGCAGGGGTTGCAGCCCTCGGTAGACCAGGGAGGGCAGGCCAGCCAGCAGCGCCACGGCCCAGACGCCGCAGCACGAGGCCAGCGCGCAGCGCGGGGTGCGCAAGGGCCGCGCCTCGAGCAGCTTCACCACGGCCAGGTAGCGGTCCATGCTCATGCCAGCCAGCAGCAGTGCGCCCGCGCAGCGCGTGCCCGCCAGCGCGAAGCTGCTGAGCTTGCAGAGGCCCTCGCCGAACGGCCAGCGGCCGCCTAGCGCCGCCGCCGCGGCCCACAGCGGCAGTGTGAGCACTAAGCCCAGGTCAGCGGCCGCCAAGTGCAGCACGAAGGTGTCCACTAGCCGCCGTGGGCCGCGCCGCCCGGCCAGCAGCCACACCACGAAGGCGTTGCCCAGCAGGCCCATGGCGAAGGCCGCCAGGTAGAGTGCAGGGATGTAGACGTAGCCGTAGGGCAGGTCCCCGGCCGGACACAGCTCCAGCTCCTCCAGGCCGTCCAACCCCGAGTAGTCCCAGGCCCCTGACCCCGGGCTGGGACTCCAGGGCTCTGTGGGGTCCATGGCCTGGCCACGAGGCCTGCGCTGGGTGCAGCCCTGGGCTCAGGCGGCAGCAGCTCTGAGCAGGAGGGGGTTTGCTCTTCATGCCCGTGTCGTGCACCTCCCTTCCTGCCACCCCAGCTCGAGCAAATGGGTGGGCAGGAAAGACAGGAGGGAGGAGGGGATGGGGTGGGAGGGGCAGGCTCCTGTGGGAGAGATGGTGGCCTCCGATTTGGGGCTGACCCGACGGGTAAGGGCTGGGATAGGCAAAAGGGGCTTCACAACTAAGTCTTGGGAGGAAAAGTCCTCAGGGCTGGGAGACCTGCCCCGCCTCCCAGTAGGAGCGTGGCCCATTCCTCTATTAGTTGCTCAGTTTCTTTGTTAGTGAAATCGGGATACTTGCCCCACTGTCTCAGGGTCGTGTTGCAAGAGGTGGTGGGTGCCAGAGAGCCCTAATCTCTTCTCAGCCTCCACCTCACCCCTTCCCACCTGCACCCACCGGCTGCTGTTTTCTCCGTTTTAGAGGGGAGAAGACAGGGGATTTTATGAGTATGGGGCCTAAGGCACGCCCCACCCCAAATCCACCTGTTTCCTAGGAAAGAGTCCACTGCCGGGACACAGCAGATCTGGGTGGGTCGGGAGCCCGCCCTGGGCACTCAAACCGTTGTTAGCATCCTGAAATGTGGGGCTTGTGTCTTCACCCTGTGAGTGGCTTCTCTGACCCAAACAGGTCCTCATGAAGCGGAGTGGAAGGGTTTTAAGGCATCTAGGAAGGGGTGTAGTCAGATCATCCTGCTGGACAGGGGCCAAGCCTGGGATTCACATCTGCCTCTTCCCTGTCTTCTCCCAGCCTAAAAAAGCTATCTATTAAGCCAGACGCAGATGTAAGCTCAGTTCAAAAGATGACACCTAATGAAACACCAGATTAGTTGTCCTAAATTATGAGTCAGGAGCTTGGAGGCAGCAAGATCCTTTGTGAAATGAGAAACTGAGAGTAAGGGGAGGATTCCTAAAGAAGAGGGGGAATGAAGTCTGACCCTGAGTGGGCGGTGGGCCCTCAGGAGGAGAGGATGGGGGAGGGAATGCTTGCTCTTCCTCCTGAAGGAGGCATGCAGCCAATTACATCTGAATTCTTCTTAGCAGATATCCCTTCCACAAGATATTGTGGTGGAACTGATGTCACAGTGCCCTCTGAGTCTGTCGCCAGTGTCCCCAGGAATGAGTGGCTGATGTGCCGGGCAACCTGGTGTGGAAAATTTGAGGTGGATTATCAATTTTGTTCGATTCAGACTTGTTAACAATGAACTCCTCCATGAAGCAGGCACTGTTTCAGGCACTGCGAGAGATGCCATTCTTGGCCTTAGCAGTTTATTGCATAGGCAGGAGAGATGGTTACATAAGCAGAATGTGCAATGGCCGACATGCCGGGAGTCCAAATTGTAGTAAATGTTAAAAGCCAAGCCCTCTTAGGGTTTAGTGGAGGGGGAGTGATTATTTTTGACGGGAAAGCTAAATCAGAAAAGGCCTTCTAGGAGATGACACTTGAGATCAGTCCCAGGAATGAGCTGAAAGTCAAATAAGAGCAGCAGAAAAGAGAAGAAAGGGTCAGACTCGGAGGAGGGAGTGAAGGGAACAAGTATACTGAAATGAGTAGGAATGTGGGCTTTTCAGGGGACAAGCAGTCTCCCAGAGCCTAGGGTAGGAAGGTGGGGACAGGAGATGAAGCAGGATGAATCATGAAGGGATTTGGATTTCAATCTATAGGTCATGGGGAGTCAGGAGGCATTAATCTGTGTTTTGAAAAGATCACTGGCAGAACTGTGGAGAAGGGAGAGACTCAAGCCAGGGAGACCCCACAGTAGGTTGTAATTATTTGTGTCTGAAATAGATCATGAGCAGTGGGAACAGAAAGGAGAGGATGTATTCAGGAGGTAATTGTAGCATCATAGGTCTCACAAAGAAGAGTCAAAGATAAGCCTGGGGTTTCTCCGCTTAGGGACCATATGGACACTGTCCCCTTAACTGCCAAGAACAGAGAGGCGCATGTGCGTATGTGTTCAGTTTGATGTTGGTTTGAGGTAGAGTCATGAAATAATTTATCATCTAAATCAGGATGTTTCTGAGAGTGAAAGGGGCACTATGAGAATTAACCTGGGCCATAAACCAGGACTATTTTGGGCAAACTGGGACATAAGGTCACCCTCACTTGGGGTCCCTCTGGCACACGGAGATCCCCAGGAAGGATTTGGAAAATGGTCTTAGAGGCCGGGCGCAGTGGCTCACATCTGTAATCCCAGCAATTTGGGAGGCCGAGGCGGGGAGATCACTTGAGGTCAGGAGATCGAGACCAGCCTGGCCATCATGATGAAACCCCGTCTCTACTAAAACTACAAAAATTAGCCAGGCATGGTGGCACACACCAGTCCCAGCTACTCAGGAGGCTGAGGTGGGAGAATAGCTTGAACCTGGGAGGCGGAGGTTGCAGTGAGCTGAGATCCAAGCCACTGCACTCCCACCTGGGTGAAAGAGTGAGTCTCCATCTCAAAAGAAAATGGTCCTAGAGCTCACAGAGAGTTGGGTATGCAGTGTTCAGGCTGCACCTGTCAAGAATTTTTCCCACACCAATTACAAGATGCACAGGGAAGAGAAGAGGCTAGGGAATGAATGGTCTGGACCTTCCCTTCACAGGCATTTCGGCCTCTGGGCTTGGTTTTCCCCTGAAGACCCACCCCAGAGCCTTTTTTCTAATGTCTGAGCATGTGGTTGCTGGTGAGTGGTGCCCACATCCGGGGTGGAGTAGGGGGCTGCAGCCTCCTCCCCTAGAAGGCTAGCAGGGGCAGTGCTTGCCTGCCAGAGCCCAGAGACCATCAGAGACAGACCCGGTGTTGCTGGACTTTACCCCCTTGGGCACACCTCAGTCTGGGGCTCAGAGAGTGTGAGTGATCCTGAAAGCTAGAGATGAACAGCAGAAAAGCCGCCAGGTGAAAACAAAGAATGGGGCAAGCAGACCAAGAGGGGAGTATAGGAAGGGTGTTGAAGGGAAGTAGAAGTAGGTTGTTCATTTTAAAAAACACAGAGCTACTTGCTTCCTGGGCCATCATCTCACACCCAAGGGAAGTCTGTGGCCCACAGCATATGCTGAATTTTCTCTGCTGAGGCCTGGGTGCTGTCCGTGGGCCTTACTGAACTTGTCTGGATGGGAAGAAGCAGCAAAGGTCAGAGCCAGGGACATTGCCTTGGGCCTGGCCTCCCGGGGTGCCCAGCCCGGTTTCAGTGACCAAGGCCAACTGCACGAGACTGCTCTTTCACCCTTCAGGAGGACTCCCCACAGGATCACACACAAGTCAACTAATAGAAACACACCCTTACAGGCTGTGTACACATCCCACCCCTGGGAGCCTTCTCTGACCTCCATCCCTAATAGGACTTCCTCTCTCTGCACTGCTGGAGCCACCAGGGCGACTGTTACGTGGCTTCGTCTTGCCTTGCCCATGGGATTATGAAATTCTCAGGGCGAGGAGGAGTTTCTCTCTACCCATCAGTGTGATTAGCGCAAGCCTGAGAACAGAAGAGATACTTTAAATAAATATCCAATGCTTCAGACTAAATTGTTTTCGAGAGTAGGTTTCTTTTTGCCCCCCTTACAGGTTATATTTAAGTTCTTGTAACTTATTTTTTCCAATTTTAATTTTTCTGTACAAAGAATCTTAACATTTTAAGTAAATTGTATTTGCCTTTTTATTTTTAATCATAAAAGCCATCTAATCACATTACAGAATAGAGAAGTAGTCATCTTGGACCTGCTACACAACCAAACTTAGCCAGTGAAGGATATTTTCAAAAGTATTCATTTGTAATCTTATTATTTTTAGATTTTCTATTTTTAAATATTCCATTTTAGATATCCTTCACATTTTTTACACAGTTGTTTCAAAGTCATATCTGTAATTAGAGTGTACACAGTATTCTCAATATCATATAAATCCACATGAGTCTATGCTGCTTAATTTTCTAAACCCTTAAATATGGATATTTAGGATGTTTCTAATATTTTTAACTGTTATAGAAATTTGTAATGAATAATTGCACTTATGATTTATACTGTTTTTATAACATACTCTTGTATTTATGTTATAAATATTATGTATTGTTATGTATTATTTATGTATTATGTAATAATACATAATACAAATTTTATGTATTATTGTATTATGTTATAACATAAATACTCTTGTATTTATGTTATAAATACATGTAAATATGCATTTATACATATTTATTTTTATATGTATTTATAACATGCTATGGACTCTGTCATGTAACATATATATGTTATATAAATACAAATTTTGTAGCAAAGGCTATGAAAATTTTTATTGCTTGATACAAATGCTTATAGTGATTAGTAGTTTAGAATGTCCCTGGCATTGTATGAGAGTATAAGGTTCAACACAGTCTTCTTAGAGATGTTCATCATAACATATATTTTCCATTGTAACAGGCAGTGAAGTAAAATGGTACCTCATTTCAATTTGCACTTGTTTATAAATAAGATGGAAAATCTGTTTATTTCCTCTTAAGTGAACCATTTTAATCATGTCCTTCACATATTTATTATAATCTATGTATTTCTTATTAATTTGTACAAACTATATATTTAGGATGAATCATGTTTCATTCCACTTGATTCAAATATTTTTCCAAATTCTTTTCTTAGCTATTATTTATTTTAGTTTTACATTTTCATAGTCAAATTTGTTGCTATTAGCAATTTCAGAGTTTAGAATGTTACTTTCTCTTTGACAATGTAAGAAGATTCAGTCTGTCATTAAAAATAATTTTCGTTAGTATTTTAAAATTTACCTAGTGTTTAATCGATTTTTTCATATATCTATCCAGCTTTCTTAACATCATTTATTAAATTTAAAATATATATTTTTTAAAACCTTGCTCTGTGTCATGATATAGAATTAGATGCATTTCTTCTTTTTTTAAATTACATGTATTTCTTCTTCTTTTTATTTTTATTTTTTATTCTTTATTTTTTTGCAGACAGGGGCTTGCTCTGTTGCCCAGGCTGCAGTGTAGCCCAGTGCGAT